AAGAGAAGTACTGTACGATTCATCAGCGGCAGCAGACGCGGATTAAGAAGAAAAAGACTATCATTAGTGGACAGATGTAATCGCTCAACCGCTCGACGCCGGCGTATCCGGCCGAAAATTTCAGACAAGAACCAAATCGAAAGGCAAACTCAATTGCGAGAACGGGGAGTTTTCTCCACAAGATTTCACCAAAACAGGCACGGGGAAAAACCATTAAAGACCCAGGAAATGGACGGCAAAGATGGCATCTTTCCTGCAACAAACAACCGAGCCGAAATTTAACTTGAGACTTTACCTCGGACTCAGAGATTCTTCCTGGCACCGAACCGCGGCAGATAGGAACCGGCGGCCCGCCGAACTACGAGCATGGGCCGGAGACGCGGGGAGCACGGCGGGCTCTGCTCCCACCCCCCAGACTCCCACCACGCAAGAACACAGGAGGAAGAAGCGGCGAGCAATGAAGGAATTCTCCGGCGGAGAGGGGGCGGATTCGACGGCGGAGACGCGAGGAACCGCGGCGTATCTGGGCGGGGCGGGGAGGGACCCGGATTCGATGGGCCAGGGAGGGAGGGAGGGAGGAGGACTGGGGGCGGGGGGAGAAGGGTCGGAACTGGTTCTTGTCTTGGGCGAACCCCCGGACCGAATGGCTGCGCTCTGCACTCCTCTCCTCTCCTCTTCTCCCCCGGCCTGATATATTTCCTTTTGGATGGATGGATCGGAATCGGACGGGCTTTGTTGGGTCCGGTCCGGTCCGGTCATGTGCGCGCTGCCATGCGGGCCCGGCCCCCTCGGGGTGGAATGGAACCACCTTCTTCTGCTCTCTAAACTAGCGCAAAGGACAGCAGATTTGTTGACATCTCGGTTGGTCTTTCTCTTTTATTCTCTCTCTCTCTCCTCGTGATGCCGCTTTCCTTCATCCCACCTAATCTCCCTCTCCCTCTCTCGCCCTGTCAAAAATATATATATCTTTCTCTCTCATCTCAGAAAAAAGATCTGTCCCTCTCCCTCTCACGCACTTGCAGTTGCAGTCCATGGGCTGAAATGATCCCCTTGTGGCAGAGGGCGATGTCTCTTTCGGAGATGCGATCTTGGTTGTTAAGTTATGGAGTGCTTGCTACTCCATTAAGCATTCATTAAGAATCCGGTCTCGTCTCTCTAAGATAAGATATGGATCGGGGCCGTGAGAGAGAGAGAGAGAGGGAGAGGGCGTCTGACAAAGCGGCCCGCCGCACCCCAGCATGCTTCAAGTACTACTAATATCAAGTTCAATACCGAAATTGCTTTGGTTTCCAAATTTATGGCACGGATCCTCGCAATTGGCCACACCACGGTGATTTCTACTACTCCCTCTGTTCATTTTTGTAAGTCGTTTCAGACAACACAAAATAGACTGTTTTGCACATTGTCTGAAATGTCTTCAAGATCTTATAAAAATGAACGGAGGGAGTACTATCTGAGTGAGTAACTATAGTGAATACCACTCACTGCCGGCATCTACTACTACGAACAATCCCGGGGAGGGAGGGAGGAATTGCTGTGGGCGCCCAAGGTGGTAGAGCGCGGTACGGCCTACGGTATTTTCACTCATTGATTTGTGCACATACTTCTGGGGGTACGTACATTGGTTGTTGTGCGAGCCGAGCCGAGCCGGCATCGGCATGGGCATCGGCATGGCCTTCCAACCAAATTGAATGTGGCCGTAGGTTGCAGGTGCAGGTGACCAAGTGCCAGATGACCGTCGCCGGCAACACAGCAGAGCAGAGTAGAGTAGACCGCTACTACTGTTGTTGACACGGTGCTGCTACTTGTACTAGGCCACCATAAAAGCAGAGCACGGGGATCGTCGGCACCATTTTTTTTACTCCTACCGTTACTGGTACTCCTACGTAGTAGTGGTCAGCGGTTTGGAGTTTGAACAAGTCATCCTGGCGTGGAATTGGGCAGCTCCGATTTGCAGACCGTGCCTCTGTTGTTTTATTTACTTGTACTACGTATTTAAGTACAGTACCGAAGAAGAAAAGTATGCGGTGCTGTGTACGTACTGTGTTGGGTGTGGGGAGAAGCAATTGGCGGGCGGATCCCCCGTTTGTTTACGGAGCCCCTGCTCCTGGTCCTGGTCCGAGGCGTCATGTGTCTTTGTAGTACTCTAGTACTTGTGCGTGTGTGGGCGTGAGAGAAGAGGACGTCCCGCGATCTACTGCCGGAGTGGGCACCCTTTTCCTGTGAAAGCATCCAACTACTCGACTGGATCCGAGGTGACAATAAAGACGTACACTAGTTTATACGGATTTCCCCCGAAAAAATGTTTATACGTTAAACGAAATTACACTTGCATTCACCTCCAAAATGATCATAAGGTTACAACTCTTTTTTTTTTGTTCAAGGCAGGAGCAAGCAAAACCATGGAGGCCCTGCCTGCCCTACTCAGAAAGGAAAATCCACGCCAACACGCGCGATGCGACGCTGGTGCCGCCCCATCCGTCGGTCAGTCACACTCACACAGGACAGGAGACGCGACTTTGGTCTCTCTCGCTCTCTCTGCCCCGATGGATGGAGAAAAAGCACGCATCCGATCTGCCGCTTCGGGGAAGAATTGATTCTCTTCTCTCCCGGTGCCGCGCTTGTCCACACGCGCACGCGACGCAACCACCCAAGTACGAGTGCGGGAGTGCCGAACCAGCTCGGCTCGGGGCTGCGCTGCGCTGCGCTGGGTCACATGACCGAGCGCTCGCCGTCCGGAAAAAATTACTCCCTCCGTTCCTAAATACTTGTCTTTCTAGAGATTTCAACAAATGACTACATACGGCGCAAAATGAGTGAATCTACACTTTAAAATATGTCTACATACATTCGTATGTTGAGTCCATTTGAAATGCCTAGAAAGTCAAGTATTTGGGAACGGAGGGAGTATATTATATGCTTTGTGATTTATGAATGCCATAATGGATCTCATCTATTAACCCGTGAGACCTGATCTTATAGAATTCTTTTTTCGTGGTCGTCCCGTCCTGTCTCGCGAGTGCGAGGACCGAAAGGTTTTACGCGACCGCCGTTGTCGCCCTCGCCTCGTAGTCGTGGCGGTGGTATGGTCTGAGACCCAAAATATCACTGTACGTACATCCGGTGATTTCAGTTTGTTAGTACAGTGCAAGTTAAGGTAACAGTGGTTCGATCTATATCGCTACCTGAAGTAGTAGCAAGATTACAGATCGGTACAGGAATAGGGATTTCTCTTGCTAGCCTAAGGAAGAAGATAACAGGGTTGCCGCCGCCGCCGTGATCCACTGGATGCTCGCTGGTGACGGCGTCTTGTTCTTATGTAGAGGTGGACTGGGCCGTCACCCACTCTGGCCCAAGGAAGCGTTGGTTCGGCTTGCAGATTCGGTTGGCCCGTGGCTCGTTGGGCTGGGTTCCTCCTACGAGTGGGGTCCCCGTGATAGGGACGCTCACATCCCCCCTCCTTGTGTGGCGGCTTGCCCCCAAGCCGCAGCTTGAGGGAAGCGGTCGAACAGAGCAGCACGGTCTTCCCAGGTGTCTTCCATGGCGGTCTCTGATAACCAGCGCACCTTGACTTGTTCCACCATAGCGCCATTTTTTCGGCGCCAGCGAGTCTGGAGTATTTCCATGGGAATAGCAAGCATATCAGTACATACGGGAAGATCAGAAGTCATGGTCATACCAGGGAGTAGTGCTCGCTGTAGTTGCGACACATGAAAAACAAGGTGCACCGACGCATGTGCCAGAAGCTGCAACTTGTAGGCGACGGCGTTGATCTTCTTGATGATTGGGTACGGGCCATAGAACTTAAACGACAGCTTGTGGTTTGCCCGTGGAGCCGCTGAAGATTGCACGTAGGGCTAGAGTTTCAAATAGACACTGCCCTCCACTGCAAATTCCCGGAAAGAGCGGTGTTTGTGTGCGTTACTCTTCATGCACTGCCGATCACGATGTAGATGATGTTGAATCAGATTCTGCATCACTGCACGCTCCTCCAACCATGCTTCCAAAGATGGCACTGAACATGAGCTTGTTGTTGTGATTCCCCATTGCTGCGGCTCATACCCAAAGAGTGCCTTGAAGGGTGACATCCTGATAGCCGAGTGGTGCGAAGAATTGTACCAAAACTGTGCCAAAGGGATCCAGAAACTCCATCGCCAGGGGCACACATGCGTGAAGCAGCGCAAGAAGGACTCGACGCATTGATTCACATGCTTAGTTTGGCCATTCGTCTGCGGGTGGTTGGTTGTGCTTAAGCGTAGCTCAGTGCTTGCATATCTGAATAATTCCTGCCAGAAGTGGCTTATAAAGACTGGATCTCTGTCAGACACTATTGCACGAGGGACGTCGTGAAGCTTATAGATGTGTTGCATGTACAGCTTGACCACTTTAGCTGTAGTATAGGGATGGGCAATTGGTAAAAACTGAGCTTACCGAGTTCTTTTATCCACTAGCACCCAAAGACAGTTGGCTTTTCCAGACTGAGGTAAGCCGTCGACAAAATCCATGGTAATGAAGTCCCAGGGTGCTTCTGGAATTGGTAGTGGCAGCAACAGTCCCGGTTGTGCAGCCCCGTCCGGTTTCGCCTGTTGGCAGACCATGCAACATTTGACATAGTGTTGGACATGAAGTTTCATTTTGGGCCAAGCAAACAGGCGGCAAATGCGATGATACGTCACGGGAAATCCTGAATGTCCCCCTACCGGACTGTCATGGAAAGCCTTCATAATCTGTTGTTGCAAGGCTGTAGAACCACCGAGCCTAATACGCCCCCGGAAGTGCAAAATGCCCTGCTGTAAAGAAAAGCGGCCTTTTGGGTCCTCACGTATTGCTAGCCGTTCCAAGAGGCGCAGTGCCTGAGGATTGGTTTGATAGCTGCGCACAATATTCTGGAGCCACGCTGGTTGACATTCTGACACTGTGAAGAGGATGTCAGTGGGTTTGGCACGAGACAAAGCATCCGCAGCTGAGTTGTCTGTTCCTTTCTTGTACTTGATTCGGTACTAGAGGCCTAGGGGTTTGGTAAATGCTTTCTGTTGCCATGGGGTGGTGAGACGGTGCTCTTCGAGGTGCACCAAACTTCTCTGGTCTATGTGAATCACAAATTTAGCATGCTGAAGATACGACCTCCATTGATCCACTGCCACTATGATCACTAAATACTCCTTCTCATAGGTTGAGAGGCCTTGATAGCGAGGGCTTAGAGCTTTACTCATGAAGGCCAAGGGCTTAGAACTTTCCATTGATCTCTCTGTAGCAGTCCCAAGACTCCCCGGAGTTTTAGCTTGTGTTCTTCCAGGGTTTCATTGTGCACTAAGATATCATCAAAGAAAACCAGTACTCCGTCGCGTAGGAAAGGTCGCGGTGTGTCATGCATTGCTCCATTAAATGTACCAGGACCTCCAGCTAATCCAAATGAGACCACTAAAAACTCGTAGTGGCATGTGTGTGTGTTTGAAACGTTGTCTTGTATTCTTCTCCTTCAACCAGCCGAATTTGGTGGTACCGTACTCGGAGATCTAGATTGGAGAACCAGCGGGAGCCATGCAATTCATCAAGTAACTCTTCAATGATTGGCACTAGGTACTTGCCTACGACTGTCGGTGCGTTAAGGTGGCGGTAATCCACACATAAACGCCACATCCCATCCTTTTTCTTGACTGGGACTCTTTTGAATAATGTCTGCCTTCAACAGTTCTTACACTTGCCGGTCGATTTCATCCTTCTGATCAGGTTTATGCCTATAAGGATGAATGTTGATAGGTTGCGCGCCCGGGATGAGAGGAATGCGGTGATCACATTCACACCTCGGTGGTAGTCCATCCGGTTCGCCAAACACTGCTGGAAACTCGACCAGAACTTCCTGGATGCAGGCTGGTATAGCCTCTTTCTTGTCCGACGATGGGTCCTCAGAGCACAGGTACACAATATGCGACACAGCTCCTGCTTTGCACATGTTGTGCAGTTGCATGGAATTAATGGAGTGGCAGGTGGTGGAATCAGAATCATGGCCACGTAGACATGCCACTCCCTCTGCGGTCACGAATTGGATGCATTTGGCGCGCCAGTCGACTGTCATGGGACTATGAGCTTCAAGCCAGTCCATACCCAGAATGTCATCATATGTGCCAAGAGCCAAAATCTTCATATCGGTGCGGAATTCGCTTCCCTGAGTACTCCACGTGCATTGCGACACTTGAGCTGTACAGAGCAACTCGCCTCCATCTGTGACACGTACCTTACAGGGACAGGGTAGCTATTGTGTTCCCGTGATCGACTTGGCTAGCTCCTGATTGATGAAGGAAGTGGAGTTGCCCGAATCGACAAGCATCAGGACCTCACGACCTTGTATCTACGCACGCAGTTGAAAAGCTTTCGAAGCCACTCCGCCCGATAATGCCAGTCGAGAGATGGCCATCCGTGTTTCTGATGTTGCATTAGTTGGTGAAGAGGCGTCGCCGTCGAGCACTGAGCTGATGCCGAACATGTCAAGAAGTTCTTCGACGACGTGTAGTTGAACAGAGGTGGGGCAGATGTGTTGACCCCAGTGTGCACCGCACTTGAAGCAGAGCCCTCGCGCGCGTTGGTAATCGTGGAGCGCCTCGAGCTTCGCCAGTTCGGAGCAGACACTGTCTGGGCATGACGCTTCTGCCCGAGCTCCTTCCAGGCCGCGTCGGTCCATGGCCGTCCGATGTACTTGAGGGTGCGCCGGAGGAGTCGGTTGTGGCAGAGGTACGCCACTGGGGTGGAACGCCTCTGGTGGCCTTGATGTCGATGGCTGATGAATGTCGCCCAATGCCCCATGGATCACCTCCTCTTGCAAGAGTGCGAGGGAGTAGGCGGTGTCCAAATCCGGTGGTCGTTGAACCAGCACTACTTCCCGTATGTCCGCCCGCAAACCTTCCACAAAACGAGTGAGGAAATAAAATGGATGAATTGAGTCTTAGTAGGAGCTCAAATGGTTGACAAGTAATTCAAATATCTCTATGTAATTAGTGACTGTAGATGTTTGTTTGACAGAATAAAACTGCTCAATCATTAATTGATGGCGATCTCTACCAAAACGAGTACATAACAGAGAAGAAAAGGACTCCCAATCGAACTCGGATAATTTCTTCTGGATCGATTGTAGCCAGACAGCAGCTGGCCCCGAAAAATTAAGTGAAGCCATGGGCACCCAGAATGATTGGTTAATCCTGAACATGTTGAAATACTGTTCGCAAAGGGTCTTCCAGAGACGGGGATTTTCGCCCGCGAAGACAGGGAACACGATAGTAGGACGTGCCTGGCCCAACACCGCGAGGAGTTGGCTGGCATGGGCGAATGGGGAGGGAAGAGCAAGTGTGGGGGAATCGAGCTGACCATTTGCCGAGAGCGGCGGCGGTGTCTGGAAGGACGTCGTTGACAGCCCCCGAGAGATGTTGAAGATGCTATGGCCTGCTGGCCGAAGGGAGCATTGACTGCGCCAATCGCGGGTCCGGTGTGGATACCGATCATCGCCAGGTGGTAGATCGCTCGACGCGGGTGCCTAAGTCGTCGCGCCCTCCTTGGTAGTTGGCAGGCGCGAGAGCTGCAGAGCCATGACAGATTCACCCAGATCGGCGACGCGTCACTCGAGATCGGGGCACCAGGCCACGAGATCGTCCACCTTGTTGTTGAAGGCGTGGATCATTGTGGTGTGCTCCTTCAAGGTGGTCTCCAGGCGCTCGAGGAAGGCCTGGACCGATGGATCCATGGCGACAAGTTGGGCGGGAGCTTGTCGCAAAGACCTGGTCTCCACGAACTACGCCCGAGCGCTGCAGCGGCGAGTGGGATTGGTCTGTGATACCAGATGATAGGGTAACAGTGGTTCGATGTATACTGCTCTCTGAAATAGTAGCAAGATTATAGATCGGCACAGGAATGGGGATTTCTCTTGCAAGCCTAAGAGCATCTCCAGCCGTTGCCCCCCCCAGGAGGCCTGAAAATCGCCGCCTGGGGATGAGCCGGTGCAAAACTCGGCGCTGGGGGCGATTAGGTTCCCAGTCGCCGCCACCAGGTCGCCCCCACGCACCGATATCGCCCATCTGTTTCACAAAGCATCCGCTTTTCGGCCCATTTTCAGCGACAAATCGGCCCGATATCGGCGCAAATCGGCCATTGTTCACCATGGTTGGGCACAAATTCAACACAAGTAATTTTTTTATCACATAGTTCATTACCGAAAATCAATAGAAATCAAATAGTTCAACAACAAATAATTCAATACAAATTAAGTTCAACAAATAAAAACTCTTATTTCATCACACATCGAGCTAGGCGGCGTTGCCCTTGAGCCTCCATAGGTGCTCCACCAGATCGTGTTGCAGTTGTTGATGCACCTGTGTGATGCGGAGCATCCTACGGACATCACCATGTCAAGAGTCCGTTTGGCAAGTGACACGTGCGACCTCTACTTCATATACATAAAGGTGAATCATCTTCTTTACACATGTTCACTTGACCCCTTCGAGGATGGTATACTACTTGACACACCACTCGTGTGCATGCATAGGTATTGCCGAAGCTTCACGGATGACGAGGAGGAGTGCAAGCGCCAAGGAACACCGACACCATCCGCGAGGGAAGCGTGGAAGCGAAGACAGAAGAAACGAAGCTGCTACAAGCTACATCTCTCGGACGTCCGACGGCCTCCGGATGACTGACGCCTGGAGACCTCACCAGGCAGAAGAGCTACAACTGACGCGTGCTACAGCGGCCGAACGCCCGACGCCCATCGGACGTCCGACAAGTCCTAGTGCCCGGATGACCGACGCCACCTGTCCAGAGCAAAAACATCGGAAGTCCGACGCCCTCCGGACGTCGGACCCCCGCGAGCGACCGGATGTCCGACCCCGATCAGACATCCGACACTGCATGTGCGCAACCGGGCCTATGGCCTTGTATCCCTCTCCCACTTACCCCTTTGAGGCTTAGACTATAAATAGACCACCTCCACCTGCTTTCTAGGGTTAGCAAAGTGATAGATCATTTGTATGTGAGCTTTGCTTCTACCACTCCTCCTCTTGAGAGAGAGAGAGAGAGAGACCACTACTCCATTGGAGGCCAAGGCCTCCATCTAGGAGAAGATCCTGCGGGATATCATCAAGACTCCAATCGTGAAAGATCGGCCTACACCGGGTTAGCCTCGTATCATATGGTATCATGAGCCACGTTGATCACGAATTTGGAGCCCCTCCACCGTTTTTAGCCTTATTTTGTATGATTTCGTCCTAAATTTTGAAAATCCCCATCAAAAATAGCCCCAATTTTTTTGTGATTTGTTGGTTTGATGATGTTTTGTTCATTTTGCTCCATGGATTTGCTTGGTTTCGAGTGGATCTAGCATCTTCCCATGTTTCCCCACTTTTCATCCATGAAATATCCTCAATTTTGACCCCGAAATCTCCATTTTCCGCCCAAAATCACGTCCTGGATCGCAAATCTTGCGTTAACCCAGACCCACCGGACGTCCGACACTTTACGGGACGATCGGCCCGTCTGAAGCACCGGATGTCCGACACTCACCGGACATCCGACATCCCCTATCCAGAACAAAAACATCGGATTTCCGGTCTTTTGCGGACGTCGGTCCCACGCTCCAGCCCTCGGATGTCTGATGATCACCGGTCTCTGACCCTTATCGAACATCCGATACCTGTAGATTCAGACTTTGTATGATTTTTTGTTTTGCCCATAACTAATTCATCCGAACTCCGATTTTGACATTCTTTAGCTCGTTTTGAAGCTCTTGACATTATCCACCCCACAAAAATATTACCATCACCATTTGACTCCATCAAATGTTTGGAACTTTGGCATCTTTTCCTAGGGCCTTCACCACATCATCTGCGTTGCCATCACCGACTTCCGCAACCTAACCCATTTTGTTCCCCATCACATTAGTGGTTGCTTGAGTAGTGATTCAAGTCTCCTAAGGTGTTTCGGCTATTTAGGGACGGTTAATTCTTCATCAACCACCACCATCACCATAATGTAGACCACCATACATTTCCGCCACCCCAAATTAACCCAATTTTGTTCGAGCTTGTTTGAGTTGTGTCTTGGGTCTCCTAAGGTGTTTCAGCTATTTAGGGATGGCAACTTCAACTCTGACATGTGTATAGCCCATCATTCCACATCCGCATTACCGACTCGTATAACCCATCATTCCACTTCTGCATTGACGAGTGCAAAC